AAACCTAGGTCTATGTGACTGCAGGTTCTGCCTTCCTCACGATGCATAGAGACCTGCTTAGAGCATGAAATTATTGTGGTGTGAAGGGCTGCCACATACTGTCATGTAAGTTGTGCACTGAACAACTCTTCTAGATGTCAGTTTCATAAAACTGACATGTAGAAAATACACAGTCATTAGACTGTGTATTTGTTGCAACAGCTTTCCAGAACTGGCAGTAAACTGTCTGGTAATAATTTTTTTTAACTCAGTGACCTTTTTCTGGGAGATGCGGTAGTGAGTTTGGTAGAAGGGGCATTTTTGCTAATTTACCAAAGCTTCTGTATGAGCAAGCAACGGTGCCATCAATCTTATTAGTGAACCTTAATGAGTTGATTTTAAATGCCCCCTCATAGCCTCACAGGCCTCTCTCCATCAAGTTCCATATTTTACTAAAAATTGTATATAGATTTCCCCTCCCCAAAACTTCAAGCAGCTAAAAGGGCTGCCTTCACCTTCCACCTGCTGTGGGCTTTGAACAAGCTCCTTAACCTCACTGCACCTCAATTTCCTCATCTGTAAAGTGGGAATGATAATAGAAGCCACCTCATAGGAGATTGCAAGGATTTGACATGTTAATGTGGGGAAAGTGTGAACTTGTGGCAAGGGCAATACAAGTGCTGGCTATGAATAGCCAGTATTTTTTTAAAAAAAAAAACTAGCCAATGCTTTTTAAATGGGGAAAGTTTGTGTAAAAACAAAACTCTAGATTTCTGACGCCCTGGTCCCTGTGGCCACCTTCATGTCACCTTTTTAGATTGCCATGTGTCTCCATTTAGCCACAGGACCTATCCTACTCCCTTACATAACCTGCCTGGCCCCTTGGAACTCTTGAGTTTGTGATGCTGGTGGAAGGCTGGGTTTCCGGGGACATCTCTGCATGATGTTTACTTGGGAGGGCCCTTGAGGTCAGGGAAGAACAGGGAAGGGCAAGGAAGGAAAAGTGCATGAAGGAAGAAGTTGAGCCAAGATTCAGGCCCAAAGACCAGCACCGCTGACTCCCCAGGGAGGGAGCTCATTCGATAGCTCTCCTGGGAGGCACCAAGTTGGGCGAGATGGTGGCGCCTTTATACCCCCACACCAATCCCATCCGCTGGCTGTGGGCTGCCCCAGAAAGAGCATGACCTTGGGCGAGGGGGCCCTGCAGCAGCTGGGGAAGTCCTTCTCTGGAGGACCCTCTGAGTGGCCCATGTTCCCATCCCCCACCCCAGCTACCCATCCACTCAGGCCCCGCCCACAACCCCCCACCCTCTGTCTCAGTTCCCCTCCCCTCATCCTTAGCATGTCTTGCTGGCTCATTGCAGATTGACCAGATGTTCGCCGCCTTCCCCCCTGACGTGACTGGTAACTTGAACTACAAGAACCTGGTGCACATCATCACCCACGGAGAAGAGAAGGACTAGGAGGGGGCTGGCTGCTGCGCCCTGGGCTTGTCTTTGCAGAGTGGTCCGTGCCCTCATCTCTCTCCCCCAAGTACTGCCTCTGTCCCCACCTTGTCTGTTAGCTGTGTGGCTGCCCCATTTATCCACCTCCATCTTCTTTGCAGCCTGGGTGGCTACAGATAACCTCATGGCCGCACATCCTACAGATGGAAATCCATCCAGAGGCCGTGTTCCAATAAACAGGAGGTTGTGTATTTGGTCACGACATTTCTCTGACAGATAGTGCCTTGAGTAAGGAAAGCAAAAGCAGATGAGCTAGTGACAGCCTTGCAGTCATTATTGAATCCTGGTGACTCTTTATTTAAGGTAGACCTTTGCAGCCACTCAAAACTGTTTCTATTAAGGACCATGTTTTACTGGAATGTTACCTGGATGACGACAGCCTTCTCTTCCAAAGAGCTCAAGCATTTAGAGGGCCTTGCTTCCATGACATTCTTCCCTTAGGATGCCATCGGAATGCCTCTCCTGCCAGTGACAGTGACAAGAAGGAAGTGGCCTGACACATGGTAGGAACATAGTTCCTTCAACAGTAATCACACCTGCCAATTCTAAGAGAGTGATTTCTAGTTTCAGATAAAGTAGAAGTTGTCTGTACTTCTTCCCAGCAAAGTAGGGGAGTGATACCGACTTCTGACCCTGTCTGGGGCCCAGGCCTGGATGTGAGTTGACCCTTGATTTTGAGTGACCACAGTCATGGTTGAAGCATTCAGGTCTATTATGGCTGCAAGATTCCCAATGTAAGAAACAAATAGGGCCAGGTGTGGTGGCTCATCCCTGTGATGCCCACACTTTGAGAGGCTGAGGCAGAAGGATCACTTGAGCCCAAAAGTTTGAGACCAGCCTAGGCAACATAGTGAGATCCAATCTCTACAAAAAATAAATAGCCAGGCATAGAGGTGTGCACCTGTGGTCTCAGCTACCCAGGAGGCTGAGGTGGGAGGCTCGCTTGAGCCCAGGAGGTTGAGGCTGCAGTGAACTGCACTCCAGCCTGGGTTGCAGAATGAGACTCTGTCTCTTAGAAAAGGAAAAAAAAAAAAAGAAAAAAGAAAAAGAAATAGGTTCAAATAACTAAGAAGTCCAAGGACTTCAGGCACAGTTGCATCCAGGAGCCCAGGCAGTGCCCTCAGAGGCTGGGGAGGCCTCTCTTTCCTGTCATGTTGCTCTGCTCTCGGCAGTGGCAAAATAATTAAGAGCAGTTCCTGCCCCCTTTCCAGCCCCTTAGCAATCCTCGAAGAGCATATTTCTCTCTCTCCCAACTCCACACAAACCTCAGAACAGGGCTTCATGGGATCCCTCTGGGGCACCTGACCCCTGAACCAATCACCATGGACTGGCAAAGGCAGTACTCTGATGGATGGACAGGCCTGGCTCAACTGATCAGCCTTGTGCTGGGGTTGAAATCAAAACCCTCCTGAACCATATGGCCTGGAGATGGGAGGGAAGATTCCCCGGAGGAAAACCCGAGAAGCAGCAGGGAATGCACTTCAGGCACTTCAAGTTTTCAAGAGAATTCCAAGAACCCTCCCAGCACTTTGGGAGGTCGAGTCGGGCGGTTCGCTTGAGTTCAGGAGCTTGAGACCAGCTTGGCTAAAATGGCAAAACCCCGTCTCTACCAAGAATGCAAAAATTAACTGGGCATGGTGGCACATGCCTGTAATCCCAGCTACTCAATAGGCTGAGGCAAGAGAATCACTTGAACCCGGAAGGAGGAGGTTGCAGTGAGCTGAGATCACTCCAGCCTGGGCGACAGAGCCAAACTCCGTCTCAAAAGAAAAGAGAGAATCCCAAGAACCTAAGAACACAGCCCAAGTCAATGACGTGATGGGAACAAGCTGAAATTTGGTGACAGAGTGGAGCTGGGGTCACAGTGAAGGCAGGAGGGCCCAGGAGGCCAGAGGAGCCACAGTTAGGGCCAGTCCTCAAGGCTTGACAATGGCAACAGTGCCATCCTCAAGGCTTGACAATGGCAACAGTGCCATCCGTGGCAGGAGCTCAGGGCCGAGCCAGCGACAGAATGTACGAAACTGTCTTCTGGCTGCAGAGATCTGGGGCCCCTTTCAAAGCAGGCTGCATGGGCAGGGACCCAGGGGAGTCACGGCCCCACCCCATGACCCAGGACGCCCCACACCCTGTGGTGACCCTTGCCCCTCACAGCCTCCCTGCACTCCAGAGTCGGTCCAGGCTGAGAGCCTCATACCCCGGGCTCCTGTGGTCAGAGATGCAGTCCGGCACCAAGAAGGCGGGACTCAGGACACTCCAGGGCAGTGCGTGGTTCTGGGCAGGACACTGTGCACTCAGCTCTGCAGTGACATGCTCAACCACGACAGACACACGCAGAGATGGAGACATGCAGAGACACACAGAGAGACAGAGATGCACACAGATACACAGTGAGCTGAGATCACACCACTCACTGAGCTGAGAGCACTCCAGCCTGGGTGACAGAGCCAAACTCTGTCTCAAAAAAAAACAAGAAGAAGAAGAAAGAGAATCCCAAGAATGGGTACAGACATGCAGAGACACACAGAACACACAGAGACAGAGACGCAGGGACATACAGAGATGAACGCAGAGATACAGAGACACATACAAATACAGACATGCAGAGACACACAGACAGGGACACACAGAGACATACAGAGACACACACAGATACAGACATGCAGAGACACACAGACAGAAACAGACATACAGAGACATACAAAGAGATACAGAGACACATAAATACACACAGAGACACACAGATACAGACACACAGAGACATACAGAGACACACACAGGTGCAGACATGCAGAGACACACAGAGACACACAGAGACACACAGAGACAGAGACACAGAGACACACAGAGATGCACACAGATACAGACACGCAGAAACACACAGAAACATACAGAGACACACACAGGTGCAGACATGCAGAGACACACAGAGACAGAGACATACAGAGACACACAGAGATGCACACAGATACAGACACGCAGAGACACAGAGACACACAGAGACACATACAGGTGCAGACACACAGAGACACAGAGACACACACAGGTGCAGACACACAGAGACACAGAGACACACACAGGTGCAGACACACAAAGACACACACAGGTGTAGACACACAGAGACACAGAGACAGAGACAGAGGCATACAGAGATGCACACAGATTCTGAGACACACACAGGTACACACATATATGGACACACACAGAGACACTCAGATACACAGAGATACAGACACACAGACATATATACAGACACACAGATACAAACACCCAGAGACACAGACTCAGAAACACAGATATACACACATGTACACGGAGACACACCCACAGAAGCAGATCCAGCATGCCCCCAGTTCCCACTTCCCATCCGCAGGTGTTCGCCACACCTCTGGTAGCCAGCGGCGTCTCAGGATCCACACTTTGGCTCCAGCATGGCCCCTCCCCCGGGCTAGTCCATTACACCTGGTGGACCGCATCTGCATCTGTGTCTCTGCATGTCTGGGGGTGGCCTGTGTTGGTCTCCAGCTCAGAGGTGTCCAGGGGCCTTGATGGCCTCACACGGTTCCTGCCCCCTGTTCCCGCTTTTACTTCTCACTCCTTGGTCCCAGCCCAGAGGTGGCCTCAGCACCCAAAGCCCTTAGTAATGCGTGTGACAGGCACGAGGCTACAGAACAAAACATTTATTTTTTCAGTTATTGTGCAAAGGTGGCCCCATGCATGCACCTCACATGGTTACCCTCTTCCTGGACCTACTGTCATCCACTTTCTCAGGCAGGCTGTCTCCGCGCACTTCCTTACTCCGATTCTCCTTCAGGATATAATTGTCGAGAATCAGCTGCCGAAGGCTGCTGTGATCCAGGGGCTGTTCCACTGCACCAAGACCAGGTTTGTGTGAGATGCTGGGAAATCAAACCCAGGGCTGGGGCTTCCTTCCCAGTGACTCTGTCTCTCTGCCCAAGGCAGGGATGGCCAAGCCTGGTTTGGCATCCCTCCATAGCATTGGGGAGTGGAGCCTGGAAATTCTCAGGTTTCAAGGAGGGGAGAATGAACAGAAATATACTTCTCGGGGCTGCCCAGACAATGATTAGTTTTCCTCCTAGACAAGGATGTGACGAATATTTGGTTTAATGTTAAGGAGTTAGGGCCACCATGTGCAGTTGTTCAGGATGTGCACTACACAAAGACACTTAGAGGAGAGGGGTAGACAGATGGGTTGAAATCCAGCCCCCACTTGATTGCTGAGCCATAGCTACCCAGAAGGGGCACCTTTTTCTAATTAATCTAACCAAAAGTGGCCCCTCTTCTAATTCACACCTGTAGGCCATAGAGGCCAGTGGGCTGGGAGAAACTAAAGTTCATCGACATTCCCGTGAACAGAGGTGAAGACAGTATCCGTACACTTCCGACCTTGTGAGGACAACCCACCAGCAGCTCTGCCCACCTCTCCCCCCAGCCTTTTAGGAACTGAAAGGGTGGTGGAAGTTGTGCTGAGATGGGTGTCATCTGGCCTAGCTTTCACTCCTGCCGCATTTCAGTCTCTTCAGCTGAAACACGCAGGATCTCTATCTGTGCATGTGTGTACGCATGTGTTGTGTGCGTGTGTGTGCACGTGTGCTTATTGGGGGTCTATCCCTTCATCCTTGGCACACTTGAAATGCTGCTCAGAGAAATGGCGGCAGCTTTTTAAAAATTGATTTTTTTCTCTACTTACTAAAGTCATGCAAGGTCATTGTAAGAGAAAATTTCAAACAATACAGAATTGTTTAACGTATTGCATTCTGTATTGCATTTCTGCAATACAGAAATGCAACGTTATCTGCAAACCACCATCCACAATCATCCACTGTAACAGGTGGCTTATACACCTCTGGTTTTCTATGCATAATCTAGAAACCTTCCTCCTTCCCTTTCTCTCATCGCCCCTCCCTCCCTTCCTCCTCCTCCTCCTCCTCTTCCTGCCTCTGAGCCTTCCTCTTTCTCTCCCTCTCCCTCCCCCTCTCTCGGATGTCTTATATCTCTTATTACGTATCAGGGTTGTGAAGTGCTATCCTGTGCATTGTGAGATTTTTAGCAGCATCCTTGGCCACTAGATGACAGCAACACCATCACTTTCAGTTGTGACAACCAAAAATACCTTCAGGTATTGCCAAATGTCCCATAAAGGGTAAATCACCCCTGACTGAGGACTACTGGCAAAGAAAAAATATATATATATACACACACACACACACCCCCATATATACACTTATACACACACGCACATATATATACACACACACATCTATATATACACATATACACACGCACATATATATACACACATCTATATATACACATATACACACATGCACATATATATACACATCTGTATATACACATATACACACATGCACATATATACACACACATCTATATATACACATATACACACACGCATATATACACACACATACACACATCTATATATACACATATACACACATGCACATATATACACACACCTATATATACACATATACACACGCACATATATACACACACATCTATATATACACACGCACATATACACACACATACATCTATACACATATACACACACGCACATATATGTACACACACATCTATATATACACATATATACACACACATATACACACACATGTGTGCATGTACACACACATGTGTGTGCCTGTGTATTGCACGCATATGTAGAGAATGTTTTTCAAAAGATGGGATTATACAATACAGTACTTCTCAGGATGCCCAGACAATTGTCGTGCAACTGACTGTTTTCCCTTTTTGTCTTAATATCAAGGGCATCTTCCTAGTCTCTTCATATTGGCCCCATGCCTCATTTTTGGGGCTGCTTAGAATTCCACTGCATGGGTGGATGAGCTGGACCTTATTTAACCAATCTCTAAGGGGTGGGCATTACACTTGTTTCCAGTTTGGAGCTACAGTGAATAGCCTCCACTCCTCCACCTTTCACCTTCGACCCTTGAGTAAGTCCTTCTGGAAGGATCAGTTCCCATATATGTGGCCAAACTGCTCTCCAAAAAGCAGGTGAGGCCAATTTGATTCCCACCTTCAGAGTGAAGGCCTGGCTCCCTGCATGAGGGGGATGAGTGAGGTTCCACCTTGGAAAAGAAGATCAATGGGCCAGTATTGGAAGAACCACAGTTGACCATTTCGCTTCTGGCATGGACCAGGTTGAAGCTGCTTCAACCGTGGGGTTAGGGAACAAAAATGAGGAGGGGCCAAGGATGGGTTCTAGAGGCACAATGGGTCAGGGAAAGGGAGGTTATAGGCGAGTGAGACTCAGGAGCATAGATAGGGTGAGCGTGAGACACAGAGTCTGGGAACTATGTCTACCCATAACTTGCCAATTTGTAAACTTTTGATATTTTAAGGTTCATTTTAAATGATCAAAAGGTAGTTTTGACTTTTAAAAATATCCAAAATAACTGAACTTCAGGATCTGTGTCACCCTAGCATCATAGAGAGAAAAGTCCCCAAGCAAATGATACCGTGACCACAGCCAAGAATGCACCCAAGGGAACTGGCAGGCCACAATGGTTCATAAAGAGGGGAAAATGAGGTTCAACACTGCAGACCCCCTCGGGCGCTTGGACAAGGCCTCCCCAGACCTGAAGGCACAGGTTTCCCAACAACCTGCACAGATTGAGAGAGAGAACTCACCATCATCCAACCTGTCACCGAAGGGGTCAGCCCCCAGCACTGGGGGGATGACTTTGATGGGTTCTGGGGGCTTGAGGAGGGCAGAGCCACCCCAGAAAGGGTTGAGGAAGAGTGGCGGGATCTCAGCCTCTGCCCCTTCCATGTCCAGGATGCGCCTATAGGTCTCCAACAGCAGCAGGTCATTGGTCTTCTTTTCAATGATGGCTGGAGAACAAAAAGTAGGACCAAGATGGCTGCTGAGAGACCTAGACCTGGGGGTGCTGGGGGTGGCGCCCCCACTGCAGAAGGTGGGGAGGAGCAGGAAGTACAGGAGGTGCGGGATCTGACCTCTGACAAGGACAAGGCTTTCTCCTGGGTGTCACCATGCATTCTCAACAGGACAACATCACTCCTCACCCTTAGAGGCTGAAATTTGGTTCTTGAGAGAAAAATAATTGACTTTTTTTTGGTTTTTGTTTTTGTTTTTGTAAACAAGGTCTGGCTCTGTTGCCCAGGCTGGAGTGCAGTGGCATGATCTTGGCTCACTGCAATCTCAAACTCCCAGGTTCAAGTGATTCTCCTGCTTCAGCCTCCCGAGTAGCTGCAACCAAAGACGCACGACACCATGCCCAGCTAATTTTTGTATTTTTTGTAGACACCGTGTCTGCCTGATCTTGAACTCCTAGTCTCAAGTGATCCTTCCATATCGGCCTCCCAAAGTGCTGGGATTACAGGCGTGAGCCATCGTGCCTGGCCTCTGACTTCTTTTTTTTTTTTTTTTTTTTTGAGACGGAATCTCGCTGTCTCCCAGGCTGGAGTGCAGTGGCCGGATCTCAGCTCACTGCAAGCTCTGCCTCCCGGGTTTACGCCATTCTCCTGCCTCAGCCTCCCGAGTAGCTGGGACTACAGGCACCCGCCACCTCGCCCGGCTAATTTTTTTGTATTTTTAGTAGAGACGGGGTTTCACCGTGTTCGCCAGGATGGTCTCGAATGTATATAACACAGATACACACAGAACATAAGCAGACACACAGTATCTCAATGATATTAAAATATTACATTCACAAGGAGGGCAATTAGGAAAATATGTCTAGAGAGGCTCCTTAGCAGGATGATAACGAAAAGAAGGTTGAGAAACACCAGGTTACACTAAAAATTGGGAGCCCCACCTTAAACTCCTGACTTGCCCCAGTGCTCTCTGTTTCAAGTCTCCAGGCCTTTACTTATGCTGTTCCTTCTGCCAGAATGCCTTTCCCTACACACTTCCCTGAATAACCCCCTAGAGGTGTTTTAAAACGCAGGTCAGGCCTCGCCACCTGCAGGAATGCTTCCCCGACCTGCCTCATTCAGGAGACATCCGCTTGCACTGCAGCTCCATAGCCCCATGCAGTCACAAGACATTCATTCATTCATTCATTCGCAAATGATTACTCAATGCCTACCACCCCATGCACCGTGCTAGACGCTAAGGATGCAATGGAGGAAAAACAAAACAATGACAACACTAACAACAAAAATACAGTCCTTGCCCTACCAGAGCTTCAGTGTGTATGGAGGCATAGAGAGAAAGCCAAGTTCAACAATTGAACAGGTCACTACAGGGAGCCCTCGCCCTCCAGAGGTTCATTATCTGATTCAATAACTACTGGATGTGGGTATGTTTTTTGAATAAACCTCACACTGTCCAGACTGCTGCTATTCTATCTGAAAATCAGGGATCGAAAATATTACCATCCAGGCCAGGCACAATGGCTTACGCCTGTAATCCCAGCACTTTGGGAAGCTGAGGCAGGTGGATCACTTGAGGTCAGGAGTTCAAGACCAGCCTGGCCAACATGGTGAAACCCTGTCTCTACTGAAAAACAAAAATTAGGCCAGGCACAGTGGCTCACACCTGTAATTCCAGCACTTTGGGAGGCCAAGGCATGTGGATCACTTGAGGTCAGGAGTTTGAGACCAGCATGGCCAACATGGTGAAACCTCATCTCTACTGAAAATACAAAAACTAGCTGGATGTGGTTGTGCAGGCCTGTAGTCCCAGCTACACGGGAGGCTGAGACAGGAGAATCACTTGAACCTGGGAGGCAGAGGTTGCAGTGAGCCGAGACGGTGACACTACACTCCAGCCTGGGTGACAGAGCGAGACTCTGTCTCAAAGAAAAAAAAAAAATTAGCCGGGTGTAGTGTCAGGCACCTGTAATCCCAGCTACTTGGGAGGCTGAGCCACAGGAATCACTTGAACCTGGGAGGAAGAGGTTGCAGTGAGCCAAGATTGTGCCACTGAACTTCCACCTGGGCAACAGAGTGACGCTCAAAAAATAATAAATAAATAAATAAATAAATAATAAATAAATAAATAAAAATCATTGGCATCCAAAATTTGCTATCATATCTCAGGAACCACATAGATCCAGACATTGAAAGCCACCTGTCCATAGAGACAAATTGGGTGAATGCTAAATACTAGGACTGCTATGGGAGGGAATAATAGTGGTGGCGGGAGGGGCACGGGCAGCTTCAGATGGGTGGGGACAGGGCAGCTTCAGTGCAGGGAGGACAATGAAACTGAGATCTGAGAATGTGAAGGAACTGGGCATGGGACAGGTCTTCCAGGAACAGCCTGTGCAAAGGCCCCGAGGTGGGAACAAGATGCAGGGGCAGCAGTGGGGGAGACTGGAAGGATCGAGAGGAGGATGGTGTGCCTGCAGGTGGTGAGCCAGGGACAGAGCAGGACAAGAGGAGATGAGAAATGTAAGCAAGGCCAGGCTAGGAAGAACCTGATAGGCTGTGTACAGAAAAAGGTCAACACAGCAGGGTGAGGCTTTCTCCTCTGAAAGCCTTGTTGACCAGGTCAGGCTTGGGCTGGCATCCAGGAACCTGGATTTCAGCAGGGTTCCCAACACCATTAACTGATAAGAGTGGCTCACCTGAATGGATAAAGAAAATGTGATGGCTGGGCATGGTGGCTCATGCCTGTAATCCCAGCACTTTGGGAAGCCAAGGCAGGTGGATCACCTGAGGTCAGGAGTTCGAGACCAGCCTGGCCAAGGTGGTGAAACCCCATCTCTATTAAACATACAAAAATTAGCTGTGCGTGGTGGCAGGCACCTGTAATCCCAGCTACTAAGGAAGCTGAGACAGGAGAATAACTTGAACTCAGGAGGCAGAGGTTGCAGTGAGCAGGAATCACGCCATTGCACTCCAGCCTGGGTGACAAGAGCGAAATTCCGAAAAAAGAAAGAGAGAGAGAGAGAGAAGGAAGGAAGGAAGGGAGGGAGGGAGGGAGGGAGGGAGGGAGGAAGGAAGGAAGGAAGGAAGGAAGGAAGGAAGGAAGGAAGGAAGGGAGATGCACACAGATACAGACACGCAGAGACACAGAGACACACAGAACACATGGAGTGCAATTACAGAGACACAGAGACACACACAGGTGCAGACACACAGAGACACAGAGACACACACAGGTGCAGACACACAGAGACACACACAGGTGCAGACACACAGAGACACAGAGACACACACAGGACCGGGCGCGGTGGCTCAGCCTGTAATCCCAGCACTTTGGGAGGCCGAGGCGGGCGGATCACGAGGTCAGGAGATCAAACCACCCTGGCCCCAACACGGAGGTGAAACCCCGTCTCCATAAAATACAAAAAACTAGCCGGGCGAGATGGGGCGCCTGTAGTCCCAGCTACTCGGGAGCTGAGGCTTAGGAGAATGGCAGGAACCCAGGAGGCGGGCGCGAGCTGAGATCAGCCACAGCCTCCCAGCCTGGGCGTGAGCGAGAGACTCGTCTCAAAAAAAAAAAAAAAAAAAAAAAAAAAAAAGAAAAGAGACACACACAGAGTGCAGACACTGAGATTACACACAGATACGAGTAGGACACACAGAACAGACACACACAGATACGGACACACAGAGACACAGAGACACACACAGGTGCAGGTACAAGAGACACATACAGGTGCAGATTTACAGACACACACACAGGTGCAGACACACAGAGACACAGAGACACACAGACACAGAGACACACACAGGTGCAGACACACAGAGACACACACAGGTGCAGACACACACAGGTGCAGACACACAGAGACACACAGGTGCAGACACACAGAGACACAGAGACACACACAGGTGCAGACCTTTTTGAAACACACACAGGTGCAGACACACACAGAACACAGAGACACACACAGTTACCCAGACACAGAGGAACACAGAGACACACACAGGTGCAGACACACAGAGACACACACATTTGAACACACAGAACACAGAGAGACACAGAGTGCAGGCCACAGAGACACAGAGACACACACAGGTGCAGACCACACCACAGAGGGCACAGAGAACCTTACAGGTGCAGACACAGAGAGACACACACAGATTGCAGACACACACAGAGACACAGAGACACACACAGAGTGCAGACACACAGAGCCACACACAGTGCAGACACACAGAGACACAGAGACACACACAGGTGCAGACACACACAGGTGCAGACACAGGAACACAGAACACACACACACAGGTGCAGACACACAGAGACACAGGTGCAGACACACAGAGACACAGAGACACACACAGGTGCAGACACACAGACACACACAGGTGCAGACACAGAGACACAGAGACACACACAGGAGTTACAGACTACACAAAGACACACACAGGTGTGGAGACACACAGAGACACAGAGACAGAGACAGAGGCATACAGAGATGCACACAGATTCTGAGACACACACAGGTACACACATATATGGACACACACACAGGAACCTCAGATACACAGAGATACAGACACACAGACATATATACAGACACACAGATACAAACACCCAGAGACACAGGCTCAAATACAGATATACACACACATGTACACAGAGACACACCCAGAAGCAGATCCAGCATGCCCCCAGTTCCCACTTCCCATCCATGGGTCGCCACACCTCTGGTAGCCCAGCGCGTCTCAGGATCCACTTTGGCTCAGCGCCTTCCCACTCCCCAGGCTGTCCATTACACCTGGTGGACCACATCTGCATGTCTCTGCATCTGAGGGGTGGCTGTGTTGATCTCCAGCTCAGAGAGGTATCAGAGGACGTGATGGCCTCACTGCATTCCACCCCCTGTTCCCTTTACTTCTCCTTGAGTCCCAGCCCAGGGGTGGCCTCAGCACCCCAAAAGCCCTTAGTAATGCATGTGACAAGGCACGGG